TTTTGTTCTGCTTTCTATTCGCTCCCCTTCTGGGTTTTGCCAGATCTTGCTCTCGCTCTCTTTTTTTCAAAGCTCCCAATTAACCGCCTTCCTTGCAGGTGGGTGGCCAAAGCGGGGAAGGACGCAGCAGCGAAGGAAATCCGGAACAAGACCGAAAAAGGATTTTTTCCCCCCACCCCTCTGGTGGTGGGAAACACAGAACCAAGGCAGTGGCAGGACTGATCTCTCAGGTTGTCTCCAGCTCCCTTCTGCCCAGAGCAGAAACCCATTGAAACCAGCCGATTTAAGTAAGCCGTGGACATTGATTTCGGTGGGTCTACTCTGGAGTAGGATTCGGTCGGATAGCGACGTAAGAAGAGGATGCTGGAATGAGGCCAACAACCAAATGTCCAGTCAACCAAATGCCCCAAAGAGAAACCCTCAAGCAGGATTTGAACCCAAGAGCAACTCTCTCCCGTCCTGCGTTTTCCGGCAACTGGTATTCAGAAGCCCATCTACCTCCGTCCGTGGAGGCAGAGCCCAGCCATCGCGGCAAGTAGCCATTGATAGCCTTATCCCTCCATGAATTTATCCAGACCTCTTTTAAAGCCATCCAAGTTTAAAGCCATCACTACCTCTTGTGGCAGGGAGTTCCACAGCACTTTATCTGTCTTGAATCTTCCCAGCATTCAACCGCATGGGATGTCCACGAGCCCTGGGGTTGCGAGAGAGAGAGGGAGAAAAAAATTCCCTCTATCCGCTGTCTCCATGCCGCGCATATTTTTATGCGCTTCTAACATGCCACTCCTTACTCGCTTCTTCTCTGAACTGAAAAGGCCCAAATGTTGCAACCACCCGCCACACGCGGTCCAAAAACGGGCCTCATGAGAAAGCCTCGGTTTCTCCCTCTGTGAAATGGGAAGAGGTCAAGGCAGTTCCCCAACGTGACTCATGAGGCCCTGTCGCAAGAGTGTGGATCCCGCCTCCAGTGTCTAGCCAGGAGGGAAGCGACGCAGAGTCACACCTCTCTCCTTTCCTGTCCGTGTGGGGCAATAAACTCTACCCACCTCCTCACTACACCTCATGTACGAAACACAGGGAAATCAGCAGAGTTGCTTCTGCACAGATCAGGCAGAATGTCTCAGCACAGCACTGCACCACAACTTGGGGCAATTCGGGGCAATAATGTATGTGCTCTTTTTAAGTATTTGGACGCTGCAATTTGTGCTGCTCTCAACCGGTGCGTTTTTTAAACTCTCTCTAAGCAAACAAGGGGTTTTCCAGTTGCCAGCTTTTTGCCTTTGGGATACTGCTGGCCTGTGGCGGACCTACTATTCGGGGGGGGGGCCTGAAACTTGGAATGTTAGGGGGTGTTATGAGAAAAAACTGCTCCTTTTCCCTTATGGGGTACCCAAGAGTCCATATAGAGTCCTTGTGTAGGTTCCCTATTGGTAGGAGAAGAAAACAGAGGCCAACCAGAGAATATTGAGAAGCAAAGCAGCTAGTAAGCCTGAGCTTTATTAAAGCTGTTGCAACAAGGTGCTCCACACACACACGGAGGGGGGGGGACCCAGAACAAAGGTGTGCCCGCCCTTATATAGACTTTTAAAATTACCTACCCTCAAACTCCAGACCACCCCCAGAAACATCATACATACATCACAGGAGGGGCGGACTACAACAGAAATCTGAGTGCGTTGTTTTTTCTCTCTTGTCTGCTAGGTTGCCTGACTGGATTACCTGTGCATCCTGGCCACTCTTTTGTTACTCAGTTCCTGAATCCAGGCCACAGGTCACAGGCTCACACCCTATTCATATCTTAAATGTGCCCTTATGACAGGATTTGTGAAAGATGTGGGTGGTGCTGTGGGTTAAACCACAGAGCCTAGGGCTTGCCAGTCGACGGTTCGAATCCCTGCAATGGGGTGAGCTCCCGTTGCTCGGTCCCTGCTCCTGCCAACCTAGCAGTTCGAAAGCACGTCAAAGTGCAAGTAGATAAATAGGTACCGCTCTGGCGGGAAGGTAAACGGCGTTTCCGTGTGCTGCTCTGGTTCGCCAGAAGTGGCTTAGTCATGCTGGCCACATGACCCGGAAGCTGTACGCCGGCTCCCTCGGCCAATAAAGCGAGATGAGCACCGCAACCCCAGAGTCGTCCGTGACTGGACCTAACAGTCAGGGGTCCCTTTACCTTTACCTTTATGACAAGATTTGTGAAAGAGACAATGGGGAGATTTCCCATTTCCTTCGACCTTGCAGAGAAATATTTGATGTCATTTTGGGAGAGAGAAAATGGTTTCAGAACTTTTATGTGGGTTTCAGACATGTGGTTTACATATTTGTATGTGTTTCTTTGGTACATTTATGAACATCTATTTTATATATATAAGACCTTAAAATTCTTATTTTAAGGGGGGTGGGCCCTTCACAACCAGCAATGAGGTCTGGGTAGCTAACCACTGTTATTGTTACCTGAGAACTGGCCATTGCGTATACCTACCCCTCTTGCCTCTAAGGTGTCAAATCAATAAAATAAATGTTCATAAATACACATGGTGTGTGCACATGAGCCACATTCTGAAATGGCCTAGGTGAGCAGTCCTGAAGCTATTTTGGCTCTCCCAAATGACCCAAAAACTTTTATCTGCAGTAGAAGGAAGGAAATGGGCAATACCTTTCCAAATTGTCTTTTCAGTTGCAAATCCCGTTAGTTGCTAAACTGCCTGGAATGCAGGGATGGAATGAGGAAAGGTATACAGGTTTGCTAGCTTGCCTGCGGCCGGATGTGTCCAGGAGAATTAAGTAAGGAGCAGAAGTGGAAAGGAAAGCAGTTATGTCGGAGGAGCATAGGAAACTCGCCTTATACTGAATCAGACCCTTCGTCCATCAGTTCACACAGTCAGACATCAAAATAAAAGCACACATTCTACTCATGTAAAAACACCAGGCAGGCCCCACAAATAACCCAGAGATGCGGGGGGGGGGGCCACTAGGGGCGCATCGGAAGATGGCTGACAATAACATCTCTCCGACCCACAGGAGGTAATTAGGAGGCTGTGATGGGAGTAAATAGCCTCCCTACCCCCCCCCCAGGATTGGGGGGGGGCTGCCTTTGCCTGCTGTGCCCTATGCCACCCCCGAATTTGTGGGGATGGGGGCACTAGGCAGAATGCCCTTCTGTGGATTTCGGGGCTCCTGGACGCTGTCTCTGATCCGCGCCGCTAGCTGCAAGAACTTCAAAAGGATTAATTAGGAAGAAGCGAATGCACATATTTCAAGGAAGGAGGGAGAGTAAAGACTGCTAACTGAAGAGTTCTCTGATAAACAAGAAGAGTCGGAGGAACAAGAATCAATCATGAGAAGATATGCCAAGACTCGGTATGGCAAAGGGACTGGATGGGGGAGGGGGAAAAAACTTTCCTTTCTTTCCTCTATGTGATTAAATAAGAATCCCCCCCCCCCTTACAAGTCAGAAATGCCGTTTTAATGACTTAAGCTGTGGATTTACGACTGTGTGGAGATGAATTTTCTAACCAAAGCATGTTTTAAGAAGAGCGTGGAAAGTTTAAGAGCTTTGCAATGACGCAGTTAAAAATACCGTCGCCATATTGGGAAGTTCTGTCGGAGGACTTGAGTCTGGGAGGAGGAAAAGAGATGTTTTTATATTGTGAGTGACTTCTCAGTGGGACTTAAGAACGGCAGATCCTGAGATTAACGATGGAAAGAGCGATGTTATTTATGAAAGTGAGGATATATGGAAACCATCTCGATATGAGGATTGGACGAATGGAAAAATCCACACAGGATATAATGGGTGTTTATCTGCTTAAGGAGATTATCAGAAGAGATCATAAAGAAAAAAAGAAAAAATATACGAACAAGATGAGATGTGGAAACGGCAAGATAAGACTGGATAGAATTATGAACTTTATTTGGACTGATTTGGACATTAACGCAGTAGCAAGAAGATGATCAGAATCCCCCTTCGGATCTTGAAATATGGGTCCCATCAACAAAAAAACAAAAATTTAAAATTCGGCTTTGTAATTCGGAATTTATGTGATGTGATTTGATTTGATTTGATTGGTCAGTTAATAAAAATTATTTTTTTTAAAAAAAACAAATAACCCAGAGATGCATTTTAAATAAAAGGACACATTCTACTCATGTAAAAACACACTGATTCCCGGACCATCCGTGGGTCAGATTTAGAAGGCGATTGGGCTGGATCCGGCCCCCGGGCCTTAGTTTGCCTACCCATGCAACCCCTCTCTATCCTCCAATCAAAGAAGCAAAAGGGATAAGCAGAGTTCCAGGACACATTCCAGCCAGGCAAAACAGAAGGGGGGCAGAGAGACATGGGCGTAGCCAAGATTTTTTGGGGAGGGCAGGCCTTTTGTTGGGGAGAAGAAGGACCTCTATATACCTGTATACCTGAAGGAGCGTCTCCACCCCCCATCGTTCAGACCGGACACTGAGGTCCAGCTCCGAGGGCCTTCTGGCGGTTCCCTCCCTACGAGAAGTGAGGGTACAGGGAACCAGGCAGAGGGCCTTCTCAGTGGTGGCGCCCTGCCTGTGGAACGCCCTCCCTTCAGATGTGAAGGAAATAAGCAGCTATCCTATCTTTAAAAGACATCTGAAGACAGCCCTGTTCAGGGAAGTTTTTAATATTTAAAGCGGTATTGTTTTTAACACTTGATTGGGAGCTGCCCAGAGTGGCTGGGGAAACTCAGCCAGACGGGCGGGGTATAAATAACAAATTATTATTAAATTATTATTATAAACTCCGTTTGCTATGTATTTTTGTTCATTTTTATTGATTTAGGGAGGGGGGGCAGCTGGCCTTCCCTGACCCCCCCCCCCCGCTACGTCGATGGAGAGAGATAAAATCTAGTTGGTTATTAGCAACATGAGTCTGCATTCAATCTAACCAGGAGACTCTGGTGAAGAATGCTGGAAGCTGCTGCAAGCTTGCAATGTTCCGGTTGGCCTAATTTTTGCTTTGTTTTGTTTTGTTTTGTTTTAAAGCCCTGATATGGTGTTTAGAATTTGACTTATGGGCTGTCAACACTTTGGGCTGTTGCTTTTTGAATTTCCGTCTCTCTCTCTCTCTCTCTCTCTCTCTCTCTCTCTCTCTCGTCAGCATGCCGTTTTCGGCTGCTACCCACAGGCGTCAAACCAAAGGCCAGCCCCCACTTCCCCCCACTCTTGGTGTGCGTGGGGCTGATAAGATTCCTCGGTGGTTTTTATCTCCGCTGTTCTGCGAAACGAAAGCCCAGTTCCTTGAGCTCGGTTGGATTTCGTGTACTGCATCCGCCCCCCATTTCTCCGTAACACAGTAAATGTTCTTTTGGCTCATCGCAAATTCAAGGAAACGCTATTCGCTTGCACCCGAGAGACTTGATAGCAGAAACAAACAAGCCAGCTTTGAAAGATGATGTGACAGCCCTCCCTAGAAACTCTCAAATACATGCAAGGCCACAGATCAATTCCTCAGTGTGCCCCCATTCTGTACGCCCCCTGGCCCCCTGGCAATGGCTGAATCCTGAAAACCGAAAAGGACAAGCCAATATTTTTAACACCCTAGAACCACTGGTAGCCCTTTAAGCTTGGGAACAGGTTAGGACTATGCTACATTTATCATTTAGGATGCTTGCACCCTGATCTTGCAGCCAAAAAGGCTCTAAGAATGGCTTCTGGACCAACAGTCAGTTAAAACAAGGAGAGCCTGCAGGTTTGCTATTGAAAAGACACAACATAAAAGGGAAAAGGGACAGAAAAAAGGGGGGGCAAGCACAGGAACTAAATCTTAATTTTTTTATGATCAACTGGATTGGGAACTGTTTGAGGGTAGAGACTGCCCTATGGATCTAGTCTTTCAGCAGAGCTAGAGCTGATAAAATTTACCTCTCTCTGTTTTGCCTCAGATATGACTTAAGCCATATCTGAGCTGGAAATTAAAATCCACTATGATTGTTTCCCTCCCCAAAAAAGACCCTGGGATGTGTAGTTTTGGGAGAGTGAAGACTGTTTTCTAACTTGGACTCCTAAGCGCCACTTCAAACTAGAATTCCTAGCGATCCTTGGGCAAGAAAGACTTTCCAGCGAAACAGCCTGACATTGATGATGATGATGATGATGATGATGCCATGGACATGATGGAAGGAAAAGTGAGTCAAGAGTGTTAAGGGGAATCAGTTCTTCAACTGATGCAAGGCAGATCTGGGAGATGTCTGACTGATCTGATGGTTATTGGACCAGCCAGCTGTGTCAAGAAATTGTGGTAAGTTAAAACGCCTTCAGGTCTCAGCTGAGAAATCACCCACATGCATATGCAAACACACAGTCTTAAGACATTGCCTTCTGAACTCCCAGCCCTGCCCGGTATTTATTTGTTAAATGAATATCCTGCCCTTTTCCTTCCAAAGGAACACAGGACATCCAACAAGAGATAAAAGAATAGCGGACATGTTAAACGTCCTAAAATGATTCCAGCACAGATGCGGATTGGGAAAGATCTCAGCTTTAAAGGCTTAGAAGGTCTTCAGCGGGTGCCGAAAATACAACAGAGATGGAGCCCATCTGATATACAGTGGGAGGGAGTTCCAAAGGACAGGTGCCAACCCGCTAAAGGCCCGTTTCCTACATTGTGTGGAATGGACTGCCTGATAAGATGGTATCTGCAGGAGGCCCTAAGTTGAGTGATAAACTGGTCTATAAGATGTAAGGTAGCCTGGTCCCAAGCTGTATAGAGCTCTTTACACCAGGACTAGCACCTTGAACCTAGGCCTGCCTGTAGCTAACTGGCAGCCCAAGCAATTCTTTCAGCCCCAGCAAGCAGTCAGTGACAACAGACGATGACTCCATTCCTGTTTCTGACAGTCTTCCAGATTCATCATTGAGACTTCATCTTTCAGGATGAATGACTTGTCCTCCTTTTCGGATGTTTACAGGGGAACTGACATTTGCAACTCAGCTGTTCTGCGCAAAGTTTTGCCACAGTTGGTCCACTGTAGAGGACAAAGTACTCAGATAACCCTTTTTTGAGACGCTGTGACCTAACCGTATGTTTCCCAGTCTCCAATTTCGACGAGACTTTAGCAAAAGTCCGCTGGTTCAGCAGAGAGATGTCAGCGCTCAAGATTTGTGCTGAATCCACTCAGCTCTCATAAGGTGAAGAAATTCTGGGATCTTTACTGACTTGCTTGGGCTGGGGGCGGGGGGCAGAAGAGCATCCAAGCATAGGAAGAGACACTAACCTCCTCCCTTTCACCCAAGTAAACCTCAGCAGCAACTCAGAGCCCCTCCAGACTAGTGTTTTTTGTGAGTGTGTTGTGCTCTGCAGGCTGCAAGTCGAAAACTTCACATTCCCTGCCCCACCGCGGACGGGAGGAAAAGGCAGTGAGCAATGGATTACAGTCATACCTCATGTTACGTTTGCTTCATATTATGTTTTTTCAGGTTGTGTCCCGCGGCGACCCGGAAGTACCAGAAAGGGTTACTTCCGGGTTTCGCTGCTCGCGCATGCACAGCAGCGCTAAATTGCGCTTCGCGCATGCGCACAAGCACCAAATCGCGCTGCACACCTGTGCAGATATGGAGCTTCAGGTTGCGGGCTTTTCATGTTGCGAACGGGCCTCCGGAATGGATCCCGTTTGCAACCAGAGGTACCAGTGTAATAAACACAGAGGGGGAAAGTCCAAATTTCAATGATGCTTCTTCTAGAAAGAGGTCCCTACATAACCAGCCAGTGAAGAAATCCAGAGGAAAAATTATAAGAGAATCTGAACTAAACGGAGGAATACAAGCCATTGTAGGGGCTTCCCTGGATTTAGGAAATGGTCTGCATTGTAAATACCGGTACCTGTCTAATTGTGACCAGAGAGGCAGTATTAAACTAACATTTTAGGATCCATATGTATGGGATAAATGTTGGATTTCCAATTTTTACATTTGCTGACAGGGAGCTGTTATTCGAATTAAAAGGTTTCCCAAATAACCCCCACCTGCCCAATGGCAATTTAGAAATATCCATTCCCTGTACCGACTATTTATTTATTAGATTTACGTACTTGCCCTCAAAAGATCTCAGTGTGGTTCCCAAGATAAAAATACAAGATAGAAACACAAATAAGTTATTGAAACGAAAACTAGCAAACAATAGCCCCCTCCCACAAATATATGGTCGAAGAGGAACATTTCCCCCTGAAGATATAGAAGCGAGGGGAGAGCATTCCACAAATGGGGAGCCACTGCAGAAAAGGCCCCGTTCTCGTGTTGCCACCCTCTGGACATCTCTTGGAGGAGGCACACAAAGAAGGGCCTTAGATGGTGAATGCAGAGTTTGGCTGAGTTTATATGGGGAGAGGCGGTCCTGAGCCTTACTAGAGAAGAGGAACTGCAGTCTGGAAAAGGCAACGGGTGAGAGGAAGGAGCAGGAAGTTCTCGAGCTGTAAGACTCATGCCTTTGTCACAGATCCTAATAATGTCTGGATATGCTCCAACAGATAAGAAGGGAAGATTGGCCCGAATGCAGGTGTTGGAATAAATATGCCCAGGTTAGAGGCCCAAAATTCCTATCCTGCTAGCAATCTATTTCCCAGAAATCAAAGAGATTATCCATTAACAAACGCTCACGATAAGCCCAGACTTGTGGGAGAAATTTCAAATTGCCAACATTGAGTGCAGACTTCTGCTATTGATCCAAGAAGTATACAGGGTCAGAAGAGGTTTAAAAGGTGGTATGACTGGTGCTTTTAAAACACTGTTTTAAGCCTTTACTGAGCTGCATTTCCAAGTGATGCCCAACACAGCCTTGGATGGGCCACTACAACAAGGCCCCGTACGCAGACAGATTTTGTATTTCCGGCCAACCTCAGGTGGAAGACATCACTCATTGTCTGTTAGCCTGTCCCTTGTATAGAGACCCAAGAGATCCCTTTCTGAAACCTTTGATCACACAAGGAAGCAGGTACACCCTGGCAGAAATGGTCCAGTTTCTTTTGAATGACAGTAGTAGCTTCGTAACACAGGGTGAGGACCTAGATAAAATCGCTAAAAAAATTGTTGTGGTGATTCAGAGGTTTAAATGAAATCAAGGTGAATTTGAGTTTGTCGGTGTCTCTGCAACCTCCCTCTGACATCAAGGATGTTGGCTCGTATTAAGGATCTGTATTGTTTTATTGGTACTGTTGCTGTGGGCTTGTCATGGCCTTTGGCTGGAACAATAAACTTATATGGCTTGAATGAATGTGTTCTTGATATAGCAATAGGGCTGCCAGGTCAAGAGCGTTCAAGACCCTGAGATCTCAGGGCCTAAACCTGAGTCCTAGGGGTGGCCCCTGGTGATGCAATGGGGGCAGGCCCTGGTGATTCTTCCTCTGCACTCTGTCCCCCTACTGCAGGGGTAGGCAAACTAAGGCCCGGGGGCCGGATCCGGCCCAATTGCCTTCTAAATCCAGCCCGCAGACGGTCTGGGAATCAGCATGTTTTTACATGAGTAGAATGTGTCCTTTTATTTAAAATGCATCTCTGGGTTATTTTGGGGGCCTGCCTGGTGTTTTCACATGAGATGAATATGTGCTTTTATTTAAAATGCATCTCTGGGATATTTGTGGGGCATAGGAATTCATTCATCCCCCCCCCCCAAAAAAAATATAGTCCGGCCCCCTCCAAGGTCTGAGGGACAGTGTACCGGCCCCCCTGCTGAAAATGTTTGCTGACCCCTGACCTACTGAGTCCTGGAGATGGAGATTAATTGGAACAGGAAAGAGGGAGGAGGGAGGACAACTGCCCCACAGCCTTTGCAAAGATTTAGAGACGGAGGTTAATTGGGAGGGAGAAGCAGAGGAGAGCAGCAATCATTTGCATCTGGCTCTTACCAGGATGAAGCCTGCAAGCTGCATGAGTAGTCTTCTTAATTTTAAAAAATTTAAGGCCCTCTCAGTCACCTGGAGATCCAAACCCTCCCCATGCCACCTGGAGGGAGCCAGTCAAATCTGGAGATTTCAGGTCAGCTGCAATTCAATCAGATCCCAATGGAGCAAGGGCTGATGGATGCCACCTCAGGATCCAGAAAGCCTGGAAGCCACTTTTATGACACCTTGTGTTCTGTGATGGGAAGTCGGAATACAAATGTGAGACAACTAACAAATAAATAAATAATAGCCATATTGAGGGAAGGCAATTAACATGCAAACAAGGGTCCTGCCTGCATATGAACTATTTTATTTTACTTTTTGAATGCAACAGCTGCTTTGTCATCTAAAAAAGCAAGGAGCGTAATAGGAAGAGTCACCGCAAGCCCTGTGAAAGAAGATAAACGGCTAAGGTTCTTTCTGAAAAGCCCAGCAACTACTCAGACCACCAATTATACTGAGAAAAACAGATTTTCTTTCTTGGGGGAAAAAAAGAGAGAGAGAGAGAGAGCGAGAGCTGTTCTCTTTTCAGACCTGGACAGGACCCAAGAGTGAATTCATGTCAGTGGAATGCCTGTCTCCTGCTTTCTGCTGAGAAAACTCGATCGAGACTCTGGCAGCCTCATTCATGGCCTTTTCCTACATGCCCATAGTGCTGCTTGCGGCCTTACTATCGCTGGAGATATGAAGACTCCTCCTTACCCTTCCGCCATTTTCAATAGGGCCTAGTAGCAAGCCAAGAGGTCTCGGTCCAATGCAGTTTGATTGACATGACTCCAATACAACAGCGACATTCAGGTGGCAACCCATGCCTGGCAAATAGGATCGGTCCAGTTGAGGTGGAGGGGCAGAATTACTCCCCCCTCACCACACACACAGATTTGCACCTTGGTCCTACCACCTGAAGGGAAGCCCAAAGAGAAACCAATGCATAACAGCTGTCGTTTTTCCTTAACTCTGTGTGGCGAGGTCAACTGATGCCACGTCCGTAGCAGAAAATATTTCCGATGCCAAGGCCCTGCAAGAACTTGATTTGGAACACAGAAACCATTGTTTGTGCCTTCCAACCATCTGGTCTGGGATGAGGAAGATTCCTCTGGAGGGTCACTGCCGGTCAGGAATAATTGATACTGAGCAAAACAGATCAGTGGTCCAGACTCAGCAAAAAGCAGGTTCGTCTGTAACCACTTTGAGGTGGGTACCGTATTTTTCGCTCTATAACACGCACCCGACCATAACATGCATGTAGTTTTTAGAGGAAAACAAGAAAAAAGATATTCTAAATGAAACAGTGGATGTATGATTTTTGTGGTTCATGCTGTGGCCACAGACGTGATCTGACAGTGAGTTTGGAGTAGCCCAATGCAAAAATCCTGAGGATCCATGTGGATCCATGCTTTGTAACCACGTTTTTGCACCACTGCGGCCCCAGGCAACAGTGGGTGCGTGATTTTTTTGGTGCAAGATGTAGCCATGGACATGCTATGTGATCTGATGGTGAATTTGGGGTGACCCAGTGCAAAAATCCTGAGGATCCATGTGGATCCGTGCTTTGTAACCATGTTTTAAGTGGGGAGGGAAGGAAAAGCACTCAAGGGACAAGGAGCATGCGTGGGGTGGGTGGAGAAGGATGCTGCTAATAATGCAGGAGAGGGGTTTAAGGGGAGAAGAAGCACGCGTGGGGTGTGTGGAGAAGGATGCTGCTAATAATGCAGAAGAAGAGGGGTATAGGGGGAGAAGGCTCCTCTCCTCTCCCGCTTTGCTCCTTTAAAGCAAGCAGGCTCTGCTTTTCTCCCTCCTCCCCGCTCATCCCCGGCTTAGCGAGCTGAAAAACTTTGCTGCTAGGTAGCGAGCTGAGTGGGGAGGAGAGAAGGACAGAGAGCCTGCTTGCTTTAAAGGAACCAACCGGACAGGAGCTGCTTACACTCATGTAAGCGGCTCCTCTCCTCTCCCGCTTTGCTCCTTTAAAGAAGCAGGCTCTCTGTCCCTCTCTCCTCCCCACTCAGCGGCTCTTCTCCCGCTTTGCTGTTTCAAAGCGAGCCACGGAGGAGGGAAGGAAGGGGAACCATGGATCCTCTGCTCACGACTGCAGCAGATCCCCCCCCGCCACCCGTAGACATTTCCTCCATAACACGCACAGACATTTCCCCTTACTTTCTAGGAGGAAAAAAGTGAGTGTTATGGTGCAAAAAATACGGTAGTTTGTTTTTACAGTCAAGCTGTATATTCATTTATGAAATACATGGAGCTTTGTCCCTGCTAGCTCTGCTTACCAACCCGCTAGAGCAGGCATTCCCAAACTCGGCCCTCCAGATGTTTTGGGACTACAACTCCCACCATCCCTAGCTAACAGGACCAGTGGTCAGGGATGGTGGGAACTGTAGTCCCAAAACATCTGGAGGGCAGAGTTTGGGGATGCCTGCGCTAGAACTTCCCCTACCCGCCCCATGCAACTACTAAACTCACCTTCCACATTCCCAACCCCATTTCTTCATAAAAGCCAGGACTGCGATGAAGCGCGGCATATCCTCCAACGGGGGCTACGCAATCACAGCTGTACATTTTTATGTATATGGGAAGAAATAATAAATGCATGTCCACACAAGGTTGCCTTCTAGGATTGGGGTTGGAAAGCCAAGTGCATGTTATGTATCTGAGTGCAGGTAGTTGCTTTGGTGTCCTATGGAAGAGAAGTCAAAACTGGACTGGTCAGCTTGGATGCCAGTGTGCTGAAGTGGCTCAACAGAAGCAGGCAACCTTTAGCCCTGCGGTCACACGAGGCTTAATTTCACATAGCCCTCAACCTTCTTGCAAAAGCCCTATAGAACCAATGATCTTCCAGAGCCACTAACAGGCAGTCAATCCCATCCTCCTCCCTGAGTTCTCCAAGGGGGAACCATACACAGAACAGACCTCTTTGAGGTATATACATCTAGGGCAGCCAAGTGAGTCTTCCATGACAGCTGCCTGACCATTTGAAACCTTTTCTTGCTCCCTCCTTGGTTTCATGAGAGGCGCATACGCAAAAGGGCTTTCATCTCTCATCAGGGCAGCAGATACTGCAGGAACGGTTTGGAATTGAAACGGCGGTCCCTGGGTGTATCATTCAATGTTTTAAACACGCAAGTGAGCTGATGGAACTCAAAGCAAGACGTTATTTGGAGTGTGGGGGTCTGTAAAAGGAAGTGCTGTTAGCCACACCAGTTTAGTGGTTAGAGATTCTTCTGAAGAGCAACTGCTGAGGGAGGACAGCAGAAAGATGCCCCTGGGAAAGGACTTGCAAACGGAAGGCTGACCAGATGGACGCTTAAATCTAGGCAGCGCTGAGTTACACTATGGAACTTGCTCTCTCAAGAGGCAGCGATTCCCAGCAACCTGTTTGGCTTTTAAGGGTCGACAAAATTCATGCAAGATAAGGCTATCAATGGCTAATAGCCACAATGGCTATGCTCTGCCGCCTCCACAGTCAGAGGCAGTAAATGTTTCTGGAAACCACAGAAGGGGAGAGTTGCTCTTGTGTTCAAATCTTGCTTGTGGGTTTTCCACAGGCATCTGGTTGGCCCCTGTGGGAACAGGATGCTGGACTCGATGGGCCACTGCCCTGACCCGGCAGGCTCTTCATATCTCATCCAGCAGGACTATTGCTCCTTTCTTACAATAGCTGGAAACAGAACTTCCATGTTTAGTGGTAGTATACCTTTAATATCGGGTGGCGCTGTGGGTTAAACCACAGAGCCTAGGGCTTGCTGATCAGCAGGTCGGTGGTTCGAATCCCTGCCACGGGGTGAGCTCCCGTTGCTCGGTCCCTGCTCCTGCCTACCTAGCAGTTCGAAAGCACCTCAAAGTGCAAGTAGATAAATAGGTACCGCTCCAGCGGGAAGGTAAACGGCGTTTCCGTGCGCTGCTCTGGTTCGCCAGAAGTGGCTTAGTCATGCTGGCCACGTGACATGCGTGGCCAACAGTCAAGGATTACAACATCTGGAGGGTAGGCAGCCCCAGACCAGAGGAACATTTAGTTGGCATACACCAAGCATGCCCTTTCAGGTGAAAAGCAATGGAGTCCCCTGGTAGAAAATCTGTTCACCAGTGGTGCCTCAGCTACCCAAAGTTTGGGGGAAACTGCCTGCGTATCTGACAAACACACTTCCCCAAATACTGCAATTAAAAAGAAAATGAAAGTGTTGTGTGCAAACATTGACAAGTACAAATAACTGAGAGGAAGGCATACTAGCAAAGAGTACTTTTCACCTCGTCAGGCCTGTGAAGGAAACGCTGCCCGTCTGCTTGCCTGGATAAAAGCTTCCCTTTCATTTATTTATTTGCAAGGCCTCTTATTACAGGAAAAGCCACAGCAATGACTTCACCGGGGAGGAATGGCGTTAACATTTGGATGGCTTTATTTTTTGCTTTCGCAACCGAGAGCTAAAAGCAGCTGCGTTAAGTTAGGCTCCATGGAAAGGGCTGGATGGCTTTATGAATCAGCTAGATCCCAGACAAGGTAGGCAAAAGAGAAGGAACAGCCCAAGGCAGGGATCCTCGACAGACTCTGCCGAAATCCCTAATCCAGCAAACTGAAGGCCTGCTCCCTTTTGGAGTCTTTCCTTGAGACTTGAGGTCAATTGTTTTGAAGGAGTCCAGCACCCTTTGAAACAGATGATGCCCTTGACAGCCATCAACTCATGTTGTTTGCAAATGAATCACAAAAAAGCCTAAGAAATCCATTTGCAAAAGGCAGCTGCAGTTGGGTCACCATGGACCTCTGCGAACCCGACCTTTGGAGTAAGCATCTAGTCCCCATGGTTACAGGAGGGCACTTTGAAACACGATCGCTATGGTGGTAAACTCTGGAAGTAAGAATAACTGGAACTACAAGAGAAGACTGTATTCCTAATCCAGATTCTCCCCTGACCCCCATTCATATCAACACAGACCCTGGGCTGGATCAATGCCACACAGTGAAGTTGATATGTAAACAGAGAAGGCTGATACTCAGTGCTGCTTGCCATTATTTGCCTAAACAATTCAGCCAATGTTGAAGTGATTCTAACAGGCAAAACTGATTTTCGTTTTTGGCAAGAAAGACACGCAGTTTAGTTGAGACCCAGTTTTGTTTCCCTCCACAGGAATATCATTGTGTGTGTGTGTCCTTCCCTTGGGTTTTTGTTTTTTTAAAAAAGCATGACCTCCTCCTTTGCTTTGAAGAACAAGCCATTGAATTAAGCCCCACACCCAACCTGATTTCCAAAACAGCCACCTGTGTGTATTGCAACACTGGAAAAAAAAAACATTTGCTCAAACTTACAAAGGCCTACTTTTGGGGAAAGGTGCAAAAAGAACTCCCCTGTTAACTAGTCTGGATCAATCAAGGCTGGGAAATTATGACTATGTGCTTAAGGGCAGAACATGTTGGGCTTTGTTTATTTTTTGATAACTGGGAATTCCCTGGCAAAATACCCACAGCTACTTTTTAGTCTTTATCATATATTACGAAGAACAAACCCTCCCCAGGGCCTTCTCGGTAGTGGTGCCTGCCCTGTGAAACACCCTCCCAGCAGATGTCAAGGCAATAAACAACTATTTTACTTTTAAAACACAACTGAAGGCGGCCCTGTTTAGAAGTTTTTAATGTCTGATGCTGTATTGTTTTAATATTTGGTTGGAAGCGGCCCAGAGTGGCTGGGGAAACCCAGACAGATGGGCACGATATAAATAATAAATTATTATTAGGAGTTATTATAGTTTAAGAGGAAAATGAACTCCATTAGGCCCAATTGTTATGTAGTTTCACTGCATTTTTTCACAGGAGATTCATGGATCCCTTCTCACTTTAGCACCTTCACAGCAGGGCAGAATGTTTCTGAACTCCAGCAACTATTCCTGTGGGTGGGCATAGGCCAGCGGGCTGCATTAGGTAACCATTTCAGTGGTGTATTTATGCTTCAAGTCTAGTACCATGGAAACAATACGTTCACCCACCTATTAAAAGCAAATGATCTTGACATTATTAACCTTCCAAATGGCAGGGAATGGATCTTCTGGGGGGTGGGGCAGGGCAGGATCTTCTGGCAGACACAGCAATTGTGAATCACTCTTTCTAGAGGGAAATTATTTCCAGGCTGAACATACCAAGCTAGCAGAAACCCCAAAGGTAAACCCTGTTAGGTAACAGGATTACCCAGCAGCAGCAGCAAGCTTATGAGCAAGAATTCACTGCTGGTTGGTTGGAGATGCTTGAAACATATGAAGAAAATGTGGGTGGTTCAGGAGCAAATATGTCTGTGATGCTAAAGGATGCATAGCAAGGTTAGCTGAACTACAAAGCTTCCTTCCAAAGAGGAATTCTGCGGAGAATAGGGGCATTTTAGATCCTGTCCCATTCTTACGATCAGGTTAGGGGTATGCATGGCTTTGAGAAGAATACTGTGGCCCTACAGGTGCTATTGGACTCCCCAACTTCTATCACCGCATGGCAGCGTAGTCAATGGTCAGGCATGATGGGAGAGAGTTCCATCATTTGGAGGGCTAGATTCCCCATTACTGACCTAGATCACAAGTAGAGGGGTCTGTGCTGAGGGATGGGTAAACTTTGGCCCTCTAACTGTTCATTTTCTAGATCCATTTCAATCAGGGCTTTGGTCTGGAAAGTGCCCAAAGCGCCATATATGATAACCTCTGTCAGGAGAGAGACGGGGCAATGTATCCGTTAATCCTAATTGACCTCTTGGCGACTTTCAATACCAATAACCATTACCATGACTGGGAGCGGCCGCCGAGACCATATAACACTGGTCTTGAAAGACCTACATTGCCTCCCAGTACGTTTCCAAGCACAATTCAAAGTGTTGGTGCTGACCTTGAAAGCCCTAAACGGCCTCGGTCCAGTATACCTGAAGGAGCGTCTCCACCCCCATTGTTCTGCCCGGACACTGAGGTCCAGCTCTGAGGGCCTTCTGGCGGTTCTCTCACTGCGAGAAGCCAAGTTACAGGGAACCAGGCAGAGGGCCTTCTTGGTAGTGGCGCCCTCCCTGTGGAACGCCCTCCCACCAGATGTCAAAGAGAACAACTACCAGACTTTTAGAAGACATCTGAAGGCAGCCCTGTTTAGGGAAGCTTTTAATGTTTGATGTATTACTGTATTTTAATATTTTTTTGGAAGCCGCCCAGAGTGGCTGGGGAAGCCCAGCCAGATGGGCGGGGTATAAATAATAAATAATTATTATTATTAACCACTGTATCCTCCTGGAAAGGCTTTCTGAGTTGTGGGTGGGCAAAACTGCTTTACAGTGGTTCCAGTCCTACTTGGATGGTTGTCTTCATCAGCTGATGCTTGGGGAGTGTTTTTCGGCATCATGGGGTCTTCAATGTGGGGTCCCTCTGGGCAGTTCTATCCCCCATGTTGTTTAATATCTATACGAGGCCGCTGAGTGGAGTCTTCCAGTTATGGAATGTGTTGCCAGCAGTATGCTGATGACCCACAGCTCTATTTCACCTTTACATCTGCAGGGGGAGGCAGTTGGTGTACTAGACTGGTGCCTTGCCTAGGTAATGGACTGGTTGGGAGCCAACAAGCTGAAGCTCAAGCCAGATAAGATACTGTTGATGGGTAGTCCCCTAGACCGGATGGATGGGAGTCTGCCTGCTCTTGAAGGGGTTACACACCCTCTTAAGAAGGGATGTATCTTGGGGGTGCTCCTGGATCTATTGGCGTTGCATGAAACTCAGGTGGTCTTTTATCAGCTTTGGCTGGTGGCCCAGCTATGCTCATATCTGGACAGATGAACTAGGTTGAATTACTGCAGTGCATTATACATAGGCCTCTGAAGATGGCTCAGACACCTCAGCTAGTACAAAACTCAATGGCCAGATTGCTCACCAGAACAAGACTGTTTCAGCATTTAACACCAATCCTGGCCCAACTGCACTAGCTGCCAATTTGCTTCCCAGCCCACTTCAAAGTGCTGGTGTTGAACTATAAAGCCGTACATGGTTCAGGACCTCAATGCCTTGGGACTGCCTCTCCCTATATGAACAGACCGCACTTGTCATCCATGGCCCTCTTCTATGTACCTGCTTCCTTAAAGGTTCAGAGGGTGGCAACACAAGAGCAGGGCTTTTCTGTAGTGGCTCCCCGTGTGTGGAATGCTCTCCCCAGAGATGCTCACCTGGCACCATCATTACATGTCTTTAGGCACCAGGCAAAAACATTCCTCTTTACCCAGGTCTTCAGCCATTAAGTAATCGATGGCCTGTTAAAGGGATCTGTTAAGATTATTTTATTATGGCATTATTATGCTTTGTATTATTATTATGCTCTGTAAAATGTTGTCCACGGCCATGGGATCTTTTGATATAAACTGAAATAATAATAATAATAATAATAATAATAATAATAACTCCCATCAGCCCCAGCTAGCACAGCCAATGGCCAGGGATATGATGAGTTGTATTCCAGCACAGGTTTCCTTCCCTGGCATTCGAAGCATGAAATGCTTGATTTTCCTCAGGATTCCCTTGAAACGGAGCACAGGGAATTGGCTTTTGTCAACTTTTGCCAAGTGCAAATTAGCAGAACAGAGTCCAATGAAACATCTAGAACTGTGTTTAAATATTTAAGTGAAGAGTCTGGTTATAAAAACCCCTCCCTCTACTTTTCCTGTTATGTGAAATAAGTTGCTTCAGAAATTGCCCGATCTACCCTAACCAGGAAGCATCCACCTTTGACACAAACACTGCACCACTAACTAGAAACAGAACTTTGCAGAAGGTGCAGATTTGCATATTTCCAGGGCAAAGCTTTGCATAGGGCCAGAGTGCACCACCAGCACATTCAAAGGCATTACAAAGTTGGTGTGGAGGATCGTGAAAATGGTTTCATACCTCTTGTCTTAAGAGTCACAGCACTTAGAAGGGGAAGACTGCTTCTTATATAAATTCAGGACCCACCCTATTCCTATGACTGTAATCTGTTTTCAACTCTGAATTTTAAATTGTTGCAATCTACCTTGAAATCTGCTAGTTAAGGGTGGGGGTGGTAGTAGTAATAAAAATAATAATGTAAAATACAGCACTTAATTTTAAAGAGACTACTGCAATATTGCACTAATATAACTCTCACCTTTTTTTAACTACCGTTGAAAAATGCAGTATAGGCATAGATATGCTAAGAGAGCGATGGATAAAGGCAGTGCAGCAGGGAAACTGAAGCACTCCTGATGATGTTTGACTGCAACTCTCACCAGCACCTGGGGTTATAAGCTTCTCAACCACTGATACAGAGATACTAGTCATGGGCAAATGGGAACCCCAGGGGCCAAATCCAGGATCCAGCAGTAACTGGCTACTTTTTCACAAGCCAGCCAGGGGCGCTCCCCTCCAGAGCCAGCTGCAAGATTGAGTGACAAAAAGGAAAGAAGAGAGGCAGCAAATGGCCAGGCCTTCCAGTAGAGTTTGGCCACAGAGAAGACAGGATGCATACAAATATAGCTTCAATTGTTTCATGTTTCTGCCTTAACAGAAGGCACACACTGCAACCACCTGTGAATTGTTTTATTGGACAGTTTATGTAAACAAGAAAGTCTGACCATAGCACCATGTTGAGTCTATGCTTTGTTTTAGGTTTTCACATCTGCCACAATCTGGTCTAAACAAAGCTAACAGTACAGCGAAGACTAAACGCAATCTAGTCAAACTGCAAAAACAACTTAACCTCTTGCTCCTATACTGAACCCTTCTGCCTAATAAAGGGTTCAAGAAACCCAAGTCTACAAGCCTCTCTCATATTCTCCCTCAAAGATTCAGATTTATTCCGTGCATAGGCCATAATGTCTTACATTGCTAACTCATTTGAGAAGTTTTATTCTTAGAGACAAGTATGACATTCTTTTGTAAGTTTAGCTTAAAATAATTGGCTTTAAAGAAAGCAAGAATCAAAATAAAGAAGGTAAAAAAACTTAAGATTTGTGGAAATGCCTCCCCTGGCAACCATGAAGAAAGAAAACATTTTAAAGAACAAAAAGAAAGTCGCTTAGCTGTACTTAGATGGTTGTTCAGTAAAGTCACCTGGCAGAACCAAGTTGTTATTGAAGTACATAGAAAGGTAGGCCCAGATTATGTGACATTTAGAGGGCTAAAGAATAAAGAGCTGCAAAACCTGAATCTAATTACATTTAAAAAAAACTCTTTTACAACCTTTCCCAAAGATAAATCTCTTTTAAGAGTATACACTTTGTACAGTTTCAGCTACAAATGTACATAAATTTCTGCTGACTTCCCCGTGAAGGTTTATACATATTTACACTATTGCGCTCCATGTCTTGTGATAACTTGGGAGCTATGGCAGTGTACGCTTCCAAGGGGAGGGCAGAGGAGAACAGGAAACAAAAACTGAAGGGAGTACATAGAACAGGATCAGCCCTTGATGCAATGAGATGGGTTCAGATTCTGGAGTTTTCTCTCTCCACAGCAGACACAACACACACCTGTGCCAGCGAACAGATAAGGCATTTGCAGTGTTCACCTGAAGGTCCTTCATTTTGCTCACCGCACAAAGCATCTTGCACGTCACCCCTAACACGCCACTCTCTTCTCTGAAGGTGATAATTTAGATACCCCGCTTGGGTGTATGGTCACAGTTCTGTGCAAATAGAACACTACCTAGCACATCCAACAGTTCATATAAGCCCAATGTGGCTGTGGGTTCATAGTCCAAGCCCAAGACTGTGCTCAGGTGGGCTTCAGTCCTCTTAGCTCCACCACTGGAGGAAGCGGAGTGCGTGTTCCTTGGCTTGAAGGATCTACTCCCAATTTGTAAAGACATCCTTGTTGGTGACATTCTAAAACTGACAGTTCAGACCAAACTTTCCATGGGATTTCGAGGTGTTTTAATTCTCCCGTCAACTTTCAAAGAACGGCTCAGTTTTCTAGTCACAGTAGAACAGGATAGTCCAAGCTAGCTCCTCACTGGGAGCACTCCTTGACTCACCGGATCATGTAAGCCAAACCTGCTCCTATTCCAGCCACGCCTGCAAAAGCCATCAGAACGCTTCTGATGCTGCCTTCTACGTCCTCTACATGGAAGAAATTAACAAATCCCTCCTAGAAGAAAGAATTGCATTGTTAATTGCTTTTAAGCACTGGCAGCCATGTGTGTCTGACTGCTTCAAAGAGAATTCGCAGGAAGAATGGAAGGTAAAACCATGTACTGAGCAAAGTCCAACATCCAGCAATTCTGAGTCCAATCCACTCCCCATTTTCAACAACCGCAACCACGCACACACAATGTTCCCTTTGTGGGAAACCAATTTTAGCGTAGCTCTTTTAAACATCTCATGACAGATATTCACTCTATTTATGGAGAGTTAACATAGGGAGGCAGCCCTAAAATCTGATGAAGCATGCATTCACTTCCAGAAAGATCAGCTACAGGAAGGTATTGGGGTCTCCAGGTTTGGATTTTGACTGTGAAGAGTTACAAGGGAAAGGGGCAGCACAACATCATCTACCATTCAGCCCCACCATGACTCACTTACCCAGGCATTATTGTTGAGGATCCATTCCCGCTTGTCTGTAACCAGAACCTCGGTGATGAGCTCTGCCAAACGACCGATGGCACTCTCCTGATTGATGCGCTTCAGATGTTTGGCAACAAAGGCACCAAAAGAGATGAGAGTCACAATTCGACCCCAGTTTGTTATGCCGTCACTGAAAAGGTGCTTTGCAACTTCTGACACAGTCTTCAGGTCATCCTCTTTCTTTATTTCAATCTTCCTAAGCATTCCTGAAGAGGGGGCGAGCAATAAGCAAGGAACACAGGTGAAAATACTGAAAATTCCACATTTAAGTGTGCAAGAAGTTTTAACAATCAAAATCATTAACAAAGCAGTTTAGTTTTCTCCCCCTCCCCCACTCTTTGCTCTTTGTTTTTGGAAGGATTGAGGTTGTAGTACTTGGTTGAATGAGCAATGGATGGTGGGTGGGCACTGATGTTTAAAACTCAGGGTCAGAGCCTGAACAGATGGAATGTTGATGGGATAAGCTTGCTCAGAAGTCTTATTGGCAAGAGCTTCCCCCTCCCCAATGAGACAGGGAGTGTATGTGCTGTCCTAGGTGGGAGGCAATTATTACTTACTTTAATTCTGGAGCTATATGAGTTTTTATCTGGTCAGCTGTCTTTGTCGTACAAAGTGATTGGTTGGGATTTTGTAACTGTAGGCTTTTATTTGATTATTGATATACTGTATTGCATTTGATTTCTATTTTGTGCTGTTTTAAAATTCTTTTGCATTGTATTTGCTTCCCATGTTGTACATTGCTTTGAGATTCATTTAAATGGTTTTCACTTCCCATTTTGATGTTCTACTTTTTTATTATTTTGACTATCACTTTATGAATTCATTTGAATACAAAGTGATTGTCTGAATAAAAATAAGTTCTAGCACTTCCTGAGAAGAACATTAAAATGTTCTAGAGCTGCTTTAGACTTGCAGATCAGCAGCTGTCTGTTTCAGAGTCCAATACTCAGACAAACTTAACACAACTCCTACTTACAGCCACTGATATCTGCAGCCCTAGACCAAAGCCCAGCTCTAGCGTCTAAGTAAGTGCTGCTTCAACTATTTTTAATACAAAACAAGGAATCCAACAGTCGTCATGCTTTGAGCTAGTGGTTCAAGACTTGAATCCTGGCAGTACAATTCTGTCCTTAAGGGTTAAGCAGCCTTCAACTATTAGCCACTGATACTTAAAAGAAACTTGAGGAAGCTGAAATCCAGAAGTCAACAAGGAAGTGACTATAGCTAGTTCATTTTCATGATTCAGGAACAGGGATGCTTGCATCCGCATTTAGGAGTTGCCCCAAAGCAGAGTCTTTATTGTACTGTGGAGAGGCAATGATTCAGAAGGCTTAAAGCAAACCATTAAACGTAAGTCTAATGAAATTTGTTCTTATACACTGGATGAGTGAGCCAAGTCCTAACCCTTCCTAACCCAGAAAACAAACAATACCTCTGTGGGAAGTCTGTGCCATTGTGACTTCTGTATATGCAGGATGTAAGGAATGTTCTACAGGACATCTCACAAATGGCTACTGTCAAAGCTTTTCTTGCCCATCCACATTACAAAAACCTGAGCAGCTCAGCCACAAGGGTAGCTGGGAGGGGATAGACAACTGGAGGACACTGACTTAGAGGTGGCAAACCATAGAGGCTCTCTAGGAGTGTTCAAATTACTGGAGGTTATTTTAAGGCTACTTCCCAACTCTACATAGTCAGTGCCCTAGCTAATGTAATATACTAAAATAAAGTCAAATGAGAATGGCAAAGTGCTGGTAAATAGCAAACCTGCTCCAAAGCAACTCCGAAGGAAGTTAGTTGTTCACAGCAGGAGCCAGCTAATCTTTTATCATCATGTTTACAATGAATTATATTTCACTTGCTAGGCAGGAGCAGGATGTCAGCAAGAGCTAATCTGTATCCAGATTATCTTCTTCTGCCTGCAAGAGTTTCTCCCCACCCCCACTGTCAAGCGAACTAAATTCAGTTTCGTTTCTGCTGGGCTTGGTGCTTTCACAATGACTCCTTGCAGAAAAACAGGGTGGGAAGGCAGGCTGGGCCACCCACAAACCTCTGGCTGCCAGGGTGGCCTCTCAAGAAGCCTGAACTCTACTGGAGATCAGGAATCTGGCCCAAACTGCACAGAACTGAAGTCAACCAACCAGACTCAAATGTGCAACCTTTCAGTCCACGGACACATCAGGAACTTTCCCTTCAACATCCCTGTTTACTCTTTTTAAACTTTGGACACTCTTCCAATTCTTTTTCATAAGAGCCCCACCATTTCTTCCCTTTACTTGCCCCCCAACACATTCCCCCTTCCACCCATCGATTTCCTTTGCTACATTCCCATCCCAAGGACACCCTGATCCACTATGTTTAGCTCCTCACCTCCACTCCCCCCCCTCAGGCCACCTGCTTTCCTCCCTCCCCCCTCCCAACCCCTACTCTAGCACTTCACCAGCCCTACAGGTGCTCACCTCCACTTCCATTCACCCCTTACAGCTGACACCCCCAACTTTTCTTTGCCCCACACAAGCTCCTTTCATGCTCTTCCCTAAACACACCTTAGTGAGTGCTTCCCGTCCTCCTCCTTCCCCAGTCCCTTTCCACTTCAGTACCCTGCTGCACTTCCTGCTTCCTGTTTTTGCTTTTTTATAACGATAAATCTTGTATTAGTTTTTTGTGAACCAACTTGGCTGCTTTAAGAGAAATGCAAGATACTAAAATGTCAGTAAATGTGAGATGCTGATAGTTTCCTCCTCTCCACACCCCATGACTTAAGCCCCCCATCAGTTATTACTCCTCACTGTTTCCTCCCAAGCAGGCAAACACCCCCATTTCCTTCCCACACTCATTCTAAGAAAGCCACACCTCAACTTCAGTGTATGTAATTAGAATAATTTTATTTTAAATGTTGCTTTTCTCTTCAGCCACCCAGGAAACATTGCTGGGGAGTGTTCCAGTCTGTCAGCTTGCCTGACTGGCTTCAACTAGCAATCAGGCACTTGGTGTCATAGGTCCCAGGCAGTGGGGTACACTTCCAGAAGATTAGGCAGGCATCCTCTTGAAAAACTGTTTTATGCCAATGGGATTCTGCAGAGGCTTTTATTTTCTTAAAATGAAGCAGCCATTGTTATGGCTATTCTGTATTTTTTATCTCTTCCATAAATGTTGTTGCATCTGTCTCTGGTATTTTGTATCTGTAAATAGTTCCCACAAAAAGGCTGCCCAAATGTGGCCCATGGCCTTCTGCTTCGGGCTTTCCTCACAGGATAAATGGGTCTTTACCAGTTTGTTAGGCCTATGGACTTTTCTTGCATGTACTTCCTGTTTTCTGTATATGTTTATCATCTTCATTGAAAACAGCTTCTGTTTCATTTATTTAATGAGGCATCATCATAGCTCAAGGACACATTCCAGCCAGGCAAAGAACACTTAAGCGTGCAAAAGTCAGAGCCTGGGAAAAGGGGGTGTGATCTCAAGAAAAAGCACAATCCCCCCACGCCGCATCATCATCATTATGGACAGAAGCTAGCTTGGGCTGCTTTGGGGGCAAGTTATAATCTCCCCCAGCCCTTATTTGTAGATCCCCTCTGGCTTTCTTCTTCCCTTGACCTTCTTCCATCCCCAATGAAGGGTGCCAATCTGGGATTAAGAGGGGGCGTGGCCCCAGAACAGACCCCTCCCCCACTATTCATTATTATTATGGCTGTCTAGAATAAGAAATGATTCATCATTTCTTCCCCAGCCATCTTTCAGGCACCCCTTCCATTTACTCTCCCCCCCCCCGCAAAAAAATTATGACCCTGCAAAAAAGGGTGCCAACCTGGTCCTGTCGAGGGCAGTGCACGGCCTAAAAAACTGGCACCACGCCCACCTGCTGCTGCTCCTGTGAGCCGCCCTGGCCCCTTTCCGGGGCGGCTTGCAGTAACCTCGACACAAGGATTAAACGGCGAAAAGGCAACCCTCTTGCCCCTCGTTTCCCCGCTTCCTCCAACCCCCTCCCTCCCACCTTGGCCCAACTGCGATTCCAGCCCCCGCGGGGGGGTGTTGGGCTAGATGACCTCGGGGTTCCCCCTCCGCCGCTGCTCCCATCACCCACCTTGGAAAGCCAGCTGGTGCTTGTCGAGGATGTTGTCCCCGACCCTCCGGAGGGTCTCCAGCGCCTGCGCGGCGCCCGGCGAGACGGCGGCGGCCTCCTCCTCCTCGGGGGTCCCCAAGCGGCCCAGGAGGCCCTTCAGGATCTTCTTCCCGCCGCCTCCCGACGGCCCTTTGGCGTCGCCGTCGCCCGAGGCGGCCTCGCGCAGGTACCGGCTCACCAACTCCAGCGTCACTTTGCGCAGGTCGTCCGGGGCGGACGCCGCCGCCACCGCCACCGCCGCGTCGTCGTCGTCCCCCTGCGAGGACGGGATGGACTCCAGCGAAGGGGTGGGCGAAGGCAGGCCGGCCTCCGCGGCCTCGGCCTCCTCGTCGTCGTCGTCGTCGCAGCCGTCCAGCTCTCCCTCAGGGAGCGCCAGCGCCAACGGCCGCGCGGCGCCGCCAACGGCCGCCGCGGCGGGGGAGCCAATCAGCGCGCGGGGCGCTACTTCGAAGGGCCCAATCCGCGCCAGGGGCCCCGCCAGGGGCGCCCCTGAGCCAATCCGCGCCAAGGGCCCCTCAGGGAAGACGCTGGCCCCCCAGCCGCGCCCAATCCGAGGCGAGAACGGGCCGGCGCCCTCAGAGCGGCCGTTGGCGGTGAAGACGGCGGCCACCGCGGCTGAGGCGCTTGGGGCTCCACTGCTGCTGCCGCCTCCGCCGGCCCCCGGGGAGACCGGCGTGGCGGGCGCCATGCTCGGTGCGCCCCCACAATACAACACCACCGACTTCTTGTTAAACATGGCGGCCTCCTCGCAGCTTTCCGCGAACTCCGAAGCTCGTCGCGCAGAGCTGTGAGAGGGGAGCGGCGGCGGCGGGGAGGGTCTTATAAAGGCTCTGACGCGCTGGCGTCAGAACGGACGTGGCATACGGCGTGAGCTTGAGGCGGTGACGCGGAGGGGAGGGGAGGTGGGCGTGGCTAAAACAGGCCACCATAGACGTTTAAGGGTAGAAGAAGAAGCCCGCTTTTGTATAGGGCGCTTCTTGGTTGCTCCATTGTTCAGGGGCGGGCAGGTGGGGGCCGGGTAGTAGTAGCAGTAGTGATAATAATAATAATTAATAATGATAAATTTCATTTATGCTCAGGGCGGCTAACACCAGTAAAATTACAGTAAAAACATAATAGAGGGGGGGAAACCCAATTTAAAATACAGGTTAAACTGCAATTTAAAATGCAGCCTCATTTTAAAAGTAGCCCATAGATCAAAACCATAAGGGGAGGGAAACATAAGGGTCAGACTGAGTCCAAACCAAAGACAAAGTAGGCGTCCTGGTGGTTTCCCAGCAGATTGGCCCCTTTCCTTCTGATGGTCTTTTCTTCTGTCCCCTTGCCAATCTAGTCCAGCATCCTGTTCTCCCAGTAGACAGGTCCCCTAAGAGCAGGGAGTGCATCTGAGACCCGTGGCCAAAATTTTGCAGTTCGAGATTAGGGTTTTGCCATACTAGATCAGGTGGGTTTTTTTTGCGTTTCTGTATTAGAGATGCCTGGCGTGCTCTGGTCCATGGGGTCATGAAGAGTCGGACACAACTAAACGACTAAACAACAACAACATATATTAGAGGTTTGCTATTTTAGATTAGGGTATTTCAATCCTGCATTAGGGCATTGCAATTCTGGATTAGAGTTTCGTAGCCCTAGTTTATGGGCTTGCAGTTCTAGATTAGCATTTTCCATTCTAGATTGGCTGTTTGCCATTCCAGATTAGTGGATTGCCGTTCTAGATCAGGCAGGGCAGAAACCAGGAGCGGATGTCTGAGCAAAAAAAGCTGAGGCTGAAAGTTGAGTTCTGAAACCGAAAACTGGAACTGTAAACAAGATTCCTGGGCTGAGCCGTGTTTGCTCTCCCATATGTACTCTTTACCCTCCTTCGATTCCAAGGGTGCGTCTGACCCGTTCAACCACTGTGCAAACACTTGGCTCTGGTTTCTGGATTCTGGGAATCTGGTGGAAACAAATCTCCAAAGCATGAAATCTACCCAGCCATGCTGTGGGCACCGAGAGAGAAAAAAGCCAGAGCAGCTGTGATTTGGGATACCAGGGAGCCTACCCACAAACCATTAGCAAAGAGAAAACAAATGGAAATAGCCAAGCAATTACCCTTTAAAAACCTCTGTCTTATTTTGTGTGGAATGTGTAATTTTTAAATGTGCAGCCCATTGCCCATATGTTTCAGGTGGGCTTACAACGCCCCTGCTGTGTAGTCAAGTATTGCAAGAACTTGGAAAGAGAGAAGAGCGTACAACAGTCCTGCAATGTTGTCCATTGCTGTGACTCCCATATTGCAGATTGGGGTCTTTCTGTGCTGCTGTGACTGAAAGAGAGATCAGTTTACAACAGCCCTGCAATCCAGTCCAGTGCTTAAAAATCGCAAGGCTCATCTGGAACTGGATATGGAGTTTTGGGACAAGATCACCCATGTAAAGCACCCCCTCAGCTTGCAGCAAAGTCTTTCTCTGTTCAAACTACCCCGGGGTGTCTCCCTCCCTGGGCCAAATCCAGCGCTTGATTTCATGCAGAAACGCCACCCTTAGTTGACTCACTTTGAAATTGACAGGTTGCAATGACCTGCTGATATGAACAGGTTTTCAACATTGAGGCTGTAACCCTTGTACACATTTGTGTGGGAGTGAGTTTTATTGAGGTGAAGAGTGTTCACCTCTGAGTAAGAACAGGAAAGAGGCTTACAGCATCTTAATGGACTTAACCAATTTTTATTATGGCATCAGCTTCCGTGGACCAGACCCCTCTTCCTTAGAGTACTGTTGTGCTGAGGTCATGCTTGAGGGTTTCGCATAATAGGCTTCTGGTTGGCACTGTGAAGACGCTGGACTATGATGGGCCCCCTTTGGCCTGATCCAGTAACCAGACTCTTCTGACTTTCTTATGGAACCCCCAGGTCCAGAGGCAGTCTATCTAGATTCCTAGGTTCTCTGCGGCATTTGGCCACTGCGAGGACAGGATGCTAGACTTGAAAGGCCCTTTTGCCTGATCCTGTTGCAGGGCTCTCCAATCCACAGAAGCTGATGCCATCATAAAATGTATCAGCCTTTAAGGTTCCATGAGATCCTGTTGTTTTTGCTGCATCAAACCACCATTGTCCAGAAATTGTTTATTTTGAGGAGATGGGTATAGGATGGAGCGATAAATGCCACATTTAACACCTGGGTTAGGAAGAGGAAGAGCTCATTCTAACATGGGGTACTCTCCTATAAATCCATGGACTCAGAAGTTACTCGTGGCCACCAGTGATTTCAGTGGGTTTACTCTGAGGAGGACTTGGGTCTTCTTTTTAACAAAGTCCTCCCAACACTAAGCAAAATTGGCCTACCAGAGCAATTATAGTCCATTACCTAGTGTGGTGTAGTTGTTAAGAGCATCAGACTAGGACCTGAGAAACCTGGGTTCAAATCCTCACTTGCCCATGGAGCTCACTGTGGGTGACCTTAGGCCAGTCACCCGTCTCTGCCTGACCTACCTCATAGGATTGTTGTGAGGGTAAAATGGAGAGAGTGGGAGAACCATCACTGTTAAAAGAATTTTAAGGTCTTACATATCTATAATAAATATTCATAAATGTACCAAGCAAACGCACATATAAATATATAAACCACATGTCTGAAACCCATAGGAAAAGTCCTAAAGCCATTTTGACTCTTTCAGTCACCTCAAATATTTCTCTGCAAGGTCAAAGGAAACGCAGAACCCTCCCCATTGTCTCTTTCCTCACAAATCCTGCCTTAAGGGCACATTTAAGGTGTGAATAGGGTGAGCCTGTGACCTGGCTCAGGAATTAAAGTATTATTTTTACAAAAGAATGGCCAGGCTCCACAGGTAATCCAGTCAAGTGACCATTAACAGGTAACCTGGCAGACAGGGTAAAAACAATGCACTCAGATTTCTGCTGTAGACTGCCTTTTCTGTGATGTAGGTATGATGTTTCTGGGGTGCTCTTGGACTCCAGGGTGGGTAATTTAAAATGTCTATATAAGGGCAGGCACACCTTTGTTCTGGGTCCTCCTTCTCTCTCCTGCGTGTGAGGGGAGCACCCTGTTGCAACAGTTCAATAAAGATCAGGCTTACTAGCTGCTTTGCTTCTCAATATTCTCTGGTTGGTCTCTGTTATTTTCTCCTACCGATAGAGAACCTACAAAAGGACTAAATATGGGCTCTTGGGTACCCCATAAGGGAAAAGGAGCAGTTTTTTTTTTTTTTACTTTTATCACCTTGGGCTCCTTGGAGGAAAGGTAGGTTAGAAATGTAACAATAAATAAAATTAAGGAAATGAAATAAAATGTTGGGAGTCCCTCCCCCACCGGTTGAGTTTGATGGGTAGCACTCACTTCTCCCTCCGCCCGCCCCCCCAGAAAGAAAGAAATGGTTCAGTCTACAATTTAACATATCTGTGTTGAACACTGAAGCAGCGAGGCTACAGGAGAGGTGGGAAGGATCAATAGCTCCATGGAACTTAATGGAGGAAGGCGGAGCCAAGCTGGAAAGGGAGGAGTATCTGTTTGGGGGGAAAAGCTCAATGGGTGAAAGATTTGGGCTTTTCCCTCTCCCATCAATGGAAAAGCAAAGAGAGATCTTGAAGGAGAATAGGAAGTATCTGTGTGTGTGACTCACCCTTGGAGAATGCAGAATGCTTTGTTATGTAACGCTTTCTCAAGGGGGGGCAGAGAGGAGAAGGGAAACAAGTCTCAAAAAGAGGAAGGGGGGGAACTTCCCCTAGAGACCGAGGAGAAGAACAAACATTGGAAACTTCCAGCAGCTTCCCGAAAGGTTTATTTTCAGCACCCGATAAAAGGAAATGATGCATTTTAAAGAAAAGCGCACTTTAATGTGTGTGCCATGGGGTCTTGGTGGATGCAAGATCCTCTAAGACTAGGAGGGCATCAGAAGAGCACAGCCCACAGTCCCTTATACTTCAGCATCCTGTCCTTTGCGCTTGGGATCTTTTAATTCTACTTGAACAGGTGTGCCGGCATCTCCCTTACCTGAAACCATGGAGAGCAGCTGCCAGCCTGTGCAGGCATTACAGAGGCAGATGGACCCATGATCTGACGCTGTGGCAGGCCCCTTCCTTTCCCCCTGTTTAAACCGGCTCTCTCTATCTCTAAGAACCATGAGGACTAGACCCTTATCTTTAGGCCAAGGGCTGCAGCTCACTTGGCAGAGCAGATTAGAGCAAGCCGGGAGCACGCAGGTTCAATCCTCAATATCTCCAGGCAGGGCTTGGAATATTCCTCATCTGAAAGCCCAGTTGCTGCCATTCAGTGTGGACAGCCCTGAACTCTGTGGATCTGAAGGCAGCCCTGTTTAGGGAAGCTTTTAATGTTTTAACAGACTATTGTATTTTAATATTTTGTTGGAAGCCAGCCAGAGTGGCTGGGGAAACCCAGCCAGATGGGCGGGGTATAAATAATAAATATTATTTATTTATTTATTTATTTATTTACTTACTTACTTACTTACTTACTTACTTACTTACAGTCTGCCTTGGAATAAAGAAGCAGCAGATCAAAAGGGAGCTTGCCCACTGCTCATTGCCATGGGCACCTCGTCCCCATAAACAACAGAGGTGCAAAGAGTTTTCTGGGGATTTGTCAATCTTTCATTTATGACTGAGGTGGAGGTGAGCTGGCTTCAGTGAAAAGGGTTTGACGAAACCCACCCACCAGATTTTAGCATAAACTCCCACCCACCCACCCAAAGTCCAGCTCGCTCTGCCCTCTTTCCTGATTCTGCACCGAGCATAACAGGATGTCACGTCTGCACTGGAAAGTGATGCTTTTTTTTCCACCGGATGTGCATTCCCCCACTGCCGAC